TAGAGCCAATTTACTCGTATAGGAATGGAACTGCAGTTATCTCCCCTCTTTTCTTCCTCCCGGTTTGCCTCACGCCCTCCAATCCAGCTCAAAATTAGACGTCAAGAAAAGGACAAACAGCACAAAGGATGATATTTTTGACAAAGCTTTGCTCTTAACTACGACCATTACTCTTCAGTACCTGGAATCCCACTGAGGCATTTCATCACACACGGGACCGTGGGCGCTTAAATGACTGTATCACTGTGAATTAGTGTTTTGCAAATTCATTTTTTCTCCTACGGCGTTCTTGTGAAAGTGGCTTAGAGCTGTTCTCCTAAAGCTATTTCAAGTGTCATGCGTTGATACCCGCGGGGACCTGACACGCCGTGCTTTGAGAACAACAGTGACATTGGTGATGCCGTAGTGAGGTTTGTAAACTTCCTCAAGAACATCCATTAATGCTGAGCCTGATACCTGGGAGGGGGGTCCTGCGTTTGAAAAACACTTTTTTTCACGGTCTAATGCGTGATGTGCGTTGTGCCACCTGCCTCTACTGTCGTCTAACAAGAAGCAGTATGCTCCCGTGACCACATGGTGAGAGTTGGAAAAATAGCTTGTCTGCTTCACCGGGGGGCTCTGACAGGTGTGCGCACAAAGACTTAAGAACTTGTCAGCGGCAGTTTTGTGAAAGGAAAGGTAAGGAAGTTTATTCATGAGCACACGCCTTGAAAATCCAGAGTAAATTAAGTGTGGCTGGAAAACAGCAAAAGAGACTTCACCCTCATTAGAGAGATTATGAACAGGCTGCCATCCGTTCAGGGAACAACGCCTTATTGATCGGGTTACTTGGATGTGAAAACAGTAATTGTCTTGAAAGTGACAAAATTAGAATTAATCAAACTTTGATTAAACTATTGCATCCTGTTTCCGCTCCAGAGGACAAGCCCGCGGGATGCCAGAGAGAGTCTCCTTGTGATGCTTGTTTGAGATTCCGCTCAAGTCCACATCTACATGATAGGTTGTGTTTGCGTTCATGCACATTTAAAACCATTCACTCATGGGTGTGATGTATAGTAACAGGTCTAGGATGTAGTTTGTGTGCCGATGCTGCTCTACTGCCACCTAAAGGCAGAATTTGTATCAAAGGTTATTTAGACAGCAATCATGCTCAAAAAATGAAAGGAACGCTTTTTAATCAGAGTAAAGCATCAAGTCAGTTAAACTGCTGGGATGTTGATCTGGACAGTTGAGTAGCAGAGGGGGTTGTTAATCAGTTTCAGCCGTTTTAGTGTTAATGAAATTAATACCAGGTACACTAGAGGGACAACAATGAACCATCCCCCCAAAAATTAGTAGTTTTACTGATGATGTCAGGGACATTTTTTCTCTTCTCATCTTTTCTGCCTGTTTTTTCACTAATTTTTCATTTGGTGAGGATCAGTGTCACTATTGATAACACAAGACGATACCTGTACCCTACAGAGGTCCAACTCCTCCAGGGTGGCACATCAATTCATGCCACTGCCAGAATGTTTGCTGTGTCTCCCAGCACAGTATTGAGAGTGTGGTGAACATTCCAGGAGACAGGCTATTACTCTGGGAGCGCGGGACAGGGTCATAGAAGGTCCTTAACCCATCAGCGGGAGCGGTATGTGCTTCTTTGTGCAGGGAGGAGCAGGAAGAGCACTGCCAGAGCTACAAAATGACCTTCAAAAGTCCAGTGTTATGAATGTCTCTTACCAGACAATCAAAAACAGATTTTATGTAGGTTGGCCTGAGATCTCGACATCCTCTGGTGGGCCCTGTGCTCACTTTCTGGAACTCTGGAGCCCAACTGGCAGGTCCACCGGTGTCATCCTAAGCACATGTGACAGATGTGTAAGGGTCTGGAAAAGCTGTGGAAAACATTATGCTGCCTGTGACATTGTTCAGCATGACTGGGCTCATTGTCAGACCCTGCATTGGTGCAGTGCGCCTTGGGTTCCTCCTGGTGCATGACAATGCCCAGACTCATGTGACAAGAGTATTTTCTGGAGGATGAAGGAACTGATACCACTGACTGGCCCTAACATCTCTCATACAACACTTCTCGTACTCTCATCCATCTGACACTGCCAGGTTGAACCTCAGACTGTTCAGGAGCTCAGTGATGATCTGGTTCAGATCTGGGAGGAGATCCCCCAGGACACAATTAACCATCTCATTAGGAGCATGCTCAGATGTTGCCAAGCATGCAAGCATGTGAGGGCCATAAAAACTACTTAGTACCATTTTGAGTTGCTGCAATGAAATTCAGTAAAATTAAAATTTTTACTTGGGCTTTTGGGTTGTGTTTGAGTTCAGCCCTCTGTAAGTTGAACATTTTCATTTCCATCAAACGATGCAGCACCCTTTCGTTCCTAACAGATTACCCAGTCAATGTCAGTATAGCTATCCAGCATGATTTGTTTCCCACTGAGATCTAATGTGATTTCAAACTGGTCATTTAATTTCTTTTAGCTGTGTATTGTTCACTAATTTTAACATATTAATAAAAAAAAATTTTACTCCGTTTTTTTTTGTTTGCTTTTTTTTTAATTTAAAACTAAAAAAAGAATATGCTTGTCTAGCTAATTTGTCTTCCTCTGATGATTTCGCTCATTTTTTAATTTGAGACAGTGTGTCAGCAACAAAAACTGGATTAACATGCGTGCAGTCGTTGGGACGGGTGATGTTTAAAGTCAGTCACACAAACACATGTGCTAAAGATGACATCCTGTGAGAGAGAAGGCCTTCCTCTGTGGTTCTCAAAGTGAGCCATCTGTCAACAAACTCCGACTCAGCAGGGGGTTGTTTGCTAAACAGGACAAAAGCAACTGTTAACAACCAGATGCTGTCGGCATAATGGAGAAATTGTCACAAATGCGAAAGCTGCCGTCCCAGAATAATGTGCCATATGGACAAAAGAAAGTGTTTTAGAACTGCTCGTGTTGGTGGGAGAAATATTTTGTTGGTCAGTAAGAATATCAAAGGAAACATGCCAAATGCTAATCAGGCACTTGATCGTTGGATGGAAGTTGGCATGGTTTGATAAATACATGGCAGTTACCATCAGAAACAAAGATTGATTTGTGACATAAAATAATAAACAAATAGACTGAACTGGACACACATGTTTGAGGAAAATCCTGGAATCTTTCCTGATAGTATTGTCTGTTTGGAAAGGAGTTTAAAAAAGGAAATTGTGCAGCTTTCTAAGTAAACCTTTGTTAAAGTTAAAGTTTATTATCAGACTCTTAAGGGTGTGTATACGGTAAAAAAAAATGTACACAGTCACCATGCACCATCACTCATTAATTAATGAACTGAGCATTTTGGGCACTGCCAGTGTTGTGTTTTAAAAAGCAGGGTTTTAACTGACTGAGAAATTGCAGGAAAAGTGCATGTCCGTATGATACAGGCTTGTCAATCACAAGGTAGGTCTGCACCAAAACACAGCATGCTTTATCCTCATTTTGATTCTACTTGGAGCCATAATTGAAAATAACAGTAATAATAATGACAATAGAAATCAACATCATGCTGCAATCAATTAAATCTACAATCAGAAACTGAGCCTGTGGCTTATCAGAGCTCATAGACGAGGTAGTTTTAAAGTCTCATTACTTGGCAGTGACCCTAAAGCTTTGAAGACTTATTCAAAATAATTACAATAGTCACTGGGATACAAAAACATTTTTGGATCCGTTACAGTTAATTAAAAAATGTTGCTAATATTGACCCAGAGTAAGAAGGTCCCCCTTGGAAGTTCTGCTTCAGTCACAATGGCTGCTGTTGCAAGAGTTTTCTCTTTAGGACTGAGCGGCATATCTTTCCCTTCCAATATCTCTGTTAGTTTTCCAGCAGACTTCCTTACAGTCATACTTGTATGTTTTTATTTTTTGCACTAAACAAGCCAGCACTTGCTGATTGTTTTATACCACTGGTGGTAACTGGTTGTATTTGTTGCAATTTTGTTACCCTCTTTATGAGATATCTTTTAAAAAGGATATTTTTAATATCAACAGATAAATTAGCATTAAAAAAGTCTACAGTTTCTACCTTGTGACAGGAATGTAATTTCTACCACAAAATAACTAAATATCATTCTTGAAAAATATATTTGACAGATCATAAGTCAACTACAAAAGCATTTTAGTTAAAGCTACAGTGTGTAAATTATCCCCAATAGATGTCAGTATGTTGGAGACTGCAGTCAACTGAATTATGTTTTCTTACCCCTCAAAGTTCAAGTGCTTAATACTTGCTACAGTTACATCTATAGTGAGTATATACTGTCAGTATTTAATCAAGCTGTTAATCAGAAGGAAAGTTGTGATTTTTAGTACACTCAAGCCTAACCATAGCTCGAACAATGCTAACCAGCTGTTCTTACTGTTTAGTCAGCTTGTCCTGAGACAGGGCATACAATTATGTATTGTCTGCTGACATAATTGCAACCATATCAGGAGATGAGGCTTGAGGTGAGGAGGAAAAGTATGAATTAAAAATTAGGGTGCATGGTCGAAGAAACAATGACAATAACAAGGAGGTGAGGAAAATATGCACAAATGTTGAATGATCATACACAGTTGGAAAGAGCTGACTTATAAGACGTACTATGTATGTGGTTGATCTTTATCCACTTACATAAAAAGCTATTAGGTGAAAAAGCCATGTCCGTCTCTGCAGCTGTATTAAAGATGGATGGTTTCCAGAAACCAGCGCCTGCTCCTATGTAGTTATAATGGACTATAATGAAAACGCCTCAGATTGCTGGAAGGCCTGATTATACGCTAATTAATGCAGTATTTATATTTATTCTATTATCCTTTAATTTATATCCTTTAAATACCCGAAATCACTATTTGGCATTTAAATTTTCAGTAAATGTCTATGTTTCAACAACTGAAGTGGTGCAGTGTGTTTGCTTACTTACTCATTTTTGATTGAAGGACACGGACTCGAAAGAGGAACCTTGTTTAGGCTTGTATTTTAAATGGGAATGAAAACAGCGTCGGACCGATGCTGGCGTGAGGAAAGCTTCCTGTTTTAAAGGGAGTCTGCTCTGAGTGACTTTCCTCTCTTTTAAAAGTAATTTCGCTAAGACATTTATTTATAATTTAGCAGGTCAAGAAGTGATACATTTGGTAAGTCATGCTGCCATTGATTGCGACACTTGTCGCCATTTTTATAACATAAATATCGTTGCGGTTAGCGTAAGTTAGACAAACGGTCAGCTGAATGGGTCCAGCTAACTAATCAGTATTAGGAGTACATATTATTTTATATGAAGGATTTTAAAACCACTGCGTTAGCCTGTTACTGTGACGTGTCACCTACGATATGAATACTTTTGTCAGCTGTACTCAAGAGATAAGCTTTGATGTCTGCCTTGCGTTCTCTGTTAGACTGACACACCCTCAGCACACAGCATTTCTTTTATGCTTTTTAGGAGCTAACCTAGGATCGCCGAGGCAGAGCCATGCCTTTCCTCCATGGATTTCGCAGGATAATTTATGAGTATCAGCCGCTGGTAGATGCTGTCATGTGTGTTATTGGACTGGAAGAACGACATGACATTGGCGAGGAAAGGTAAAGCTGGCTATTCAGTTACAGTCCTCTCTTGGCAGTGCTACACTGCCGTAATTAATTGAACATGTATCAGATAACAGACAAACATTACATACAAGGTGCTTCTTTCTTCTCCTGTCAGGAGTTCTGAGGAAGAATCCGCAATTTCTAGGTCTCTGGTGGAGCTCCTGGAGCAAGAATCCCAGTCAGAGGTGTTTGTGGAGGGGATCAGCTATGCCCTGTTCAAAATGGCAGAGCGAGGTCTGGTGCAGCCAGCAAAAATCCTCCTACGCTACGGAGCTGATCTCAACTTTGAAGGTTAGTAACAGTTTGGAGTGTGTTTTAGATGATGTGAATGTTTTTTAACTTGACACTGTATACACATTTGTTTATGAAACCTTGCTAAAGAGAGAGAGAGATCATTTTGTGACTGTGCTTAATGTCATTTTTGAAATTTAAAAAAGCAGAGACGAAAGAAACACTCTTCAGCTAAGGTGTGATTGTTGATTTTGAATCATTTGTCCACCAGGGGGCACTCTGCAACTTCATGTTTAGAGCACTACAGACACAACAATGAGTGCATTGTCTTATCTTAAAAAGGACGTAGAAGGTATATCTGATTTTTAAATCATCATATATCAATATCGGTCTTAAAAATCCTATGTTGGTCCGATTCAAATCAAGCGTATGTACCAACAAGCGCAAGCAAGCTGCTACAATACAAAATCTGTAGGATGAGAAAACAAATTAGAATAGTTTTCCTGGCAGTTTGGAGTTCATTCAGTGTCTTGCCATACTAGCACAATTTTCAGCAGCAGTTCCAATATCAGAATCACAATCAGCATACTTTATTAATCCCTAAGGAAATTATGTGGGTTACAGTTGCTCTAGTATAAATAACAGAAACGGACTAGACTATTTAACAATACATTATGTTACAGATTTAAGAAATAGCACAATATATACAAATCACTAAATAATACAAATCAAGGATTGACAGAGGTGATTATAAATAAATATCACCAGTGCTGACAGGAATGTTACAGAGTAGAAAGAGCGTGTGCAAAAAGGATGCAACTATTGCAGTGTTTACAGTGTATTAGATGGAAGAGTTGTACAGGGAGATGGCCGAGGGCAGGATTGATTTCCTGTGTCATTCAGTGATCACGATATGTCATATCATGATACGTGTACTTCAGAACATCAGATTCAGGTCCACTCAGTCTTTTGTCAGTGAGCGTATTACTTAGGCTACGTTCACATTGCAGGCGAAAGCGTATCAAATCCGACTTTTTTGACCCTATGCGACCCATATCCGATCATGGTATGACAGTGTGAACGGCACAAATCCGATATTTTCCAATCCGATCTGGGTCACTTTCGTAAGTGGTACTGAATCCGATACATATCTGATGTTTTAGAAAGCAACTGCTGTTTGAACGGTCATGTCGCATTAAATCCATCTTTTACGTAACTGACACAAGACAGACGCCAATTATCCGTGCCGGAGAAGCGCCCGATAAGACATCATGAACGCTTCCTGGCCATCCCATGTAGATGTTAGTGAAACTGTTGGGAAGACAGTGTTGGAGAAACATGAACATTTTCTTTGTACTGTATAATCTGCAGATTCTGACAGACATTTCCAACTATCCTTTGAAGCACCGCTCCTCTCTAAAACAGCAATAAGGATATTTATTAGGCCATATGTAAATAACAAAATAATTTTATAACTTAAAGCAAAATTGGGAAACGTAAAGTCCAAAACAAGTCTTTATATTAAGGGCCATCAGTCAAACAATACTGTTTGGTCTGGATCTAAACAGAGCGCGTTGTGTGTGACGTCTTCTTTTGCGCATGCGGGCCGCTTTGAGGGTTCACACTAGAGCACGTTTGCTGTCACGTTTTATTTGTAGTGTGAACAAGCAGACAAAAAAAAAATCGGATTTGATCAAAAAATCTTAATTGAGCATTAAGACCTGCAGTGTGAACGTAGCCTAAAATGTGTGTTCAAGCATCATAAGTGAACTGATGTAGGCCCAGACTGCAGGAAGGGACATCACTAGGAGATGGCAGATGTCATTAGCAGCAGCTTCTGTGGTTCAAGCTCCAGGTCACGATGCTGGCAGCACCACATTTTTACAGGAGTCTCCACTGCTCTGGATAGTTTACCTTCTGTTTTCAAAAGCTGAAAAAACAATGTGTGTGTCATTTCTGTGCTACTGATTTGGTTGCTGACACAAAACCAAATCCAACACTCCCAGTATGCCGGTAAGCAACAGAAATGTTGGTTAGGTAATGAACTATAGCCAGTTATTTGCCTTCAAACATATTTGCATCACGTTATTAATGACAGGGCTGCTTTAAGAATTCTTTCACAGGAGTGGCCATATGGGTGGCACACTAAACACAGAATTTCTAGTTTTTATTATGCTGTTGTTAAATATTGGATACTTGAAAAATATGGCAAAAAATAGATAAAGAAAAGAATTATATGCCTAGTTAATTTCATGCTATTAAAGTTTATATCACTGAAAATGGGTGCATGTGAAAACCAAATAAGCAAATTTTGGGGGGTGGCCAGTGCCCCCCCCCTGGCTGAATAGCACATTTGTTTCTTGTAACTGAAATTTTGCAAGCTGTTGCAAATGATCTTCAAAGTGCTGAAGAGTGTTTTTGGCTTTCTAGCATTCATCTCATTCCCTCCTGCAATAGTCCATTTTCTCTTAATACACAGATTGTGTTTAATGACTGATACAAACAGGAGACCACTGCCATTTTTCTACATGTAACAAATAGTTGCACATGCATAACGAGCCAGTTATCGTCTGTATATACTAGTGGGAAGTGCAGCATGTTTTTCTACTGTGATTAAACCTTCCAGACTAAGCCTAACTATGCTGTGGTGACCTCTGCTGGTTTCAGGCATGTGTTTTTCCCAAGGGTATGATTAGGGATTTCTTGCAGAGGCTGCTTCATTCACCTCTCACATTTCATAAAGTCCTCTGGCGAGAAACAAATGCTCCCACATACCATGCAGTACACCTCACATTTAGCTGTTTTTCAAGTGTTTACTTCCTGTCTCTTCATGTCTTTTCATGATCTCTCCTTTTGCTTGTCTTTTACAGTTTTTCTTTTATTGCTCATGTTCTCTGTTTGGTTTTATACTCTGCATGTAAGTGTACAGTAACTTTTATAGCTTTGCCCACACTCATTTAGGAACAGTGCTTGTCAAATTGTCAAATCCTCGCCTGTCTGTTGCTTTTCATCTCTTTAATGAAGACTTTGTTTTATACACAAAATATTTGTTTTCATTTCTCAAGACCCAGTTTCATACTACAATCCACTACACATAGCAGTTTTGAGGAACAGGCCAAACATGGTGAAGCTGCTGGCCGGGCACGGAGCAGACATTGAAAAGAGGGACAGAGTGAGTAAAGAGGAATCCATGACTTCTCTTTTGATTGATTCTGTCTGTCTTTTTTTTTTTTTTTTTTTTATCAGTAGAGGAATTCTACGTAAACTCTGTTATTTCTGTAGATTCATGAGAGCAGTCCCTTGGACCTTGCCAGTGAGGAGTCAGAGAGACTGCCCTGCCTGCTCGCCTTGCTGGACCTGGGTGCTGATGTGAATGCAAGGGATAAACACGGTGAGTTTACGATGGCCAAGCTTAATTGTAAAATTTCCATTCATACCCTTATTCAGTCATTCTGAAAGGCGATTGCTTTGATGTTGTCTTCAAAGGAAAAACACCTTTGCTCCATGCCTTGGCGAGCAGCGATGGAATCACCGTGCACAACACGGAGAACATCCAGCTGCTACTTGAGAGAGGTACTGACTCTAAAACGCACTCCAGGCACTTTTCCTTCTCATCTGCTTTTGGTCATTCAAATTCTTCCTCAAGCGGCATCACAGCTAAAATGCTGCACACAGGCTTTTTGCCACCTGCGCTCATTTTGAACCTGGAATAAACCATGGATCTGATTCTTAACAGAAAATTGAAAGTGGAGCAGAGCTAGTGCTGAGATCCCAGCATGAAGCGACTGACTAGTGACTTTTTTTTTAACCATAAAAGGTTTCATCTTCTGTAGGCAGAAGCTTAAATTTATCATTAAACTTCTCACACTTACAAGTATTTTCATGTGCAGAGTGACTATAGGGTTGGGACTTTTTTCTTTTTTGATCTCGTCTGGTTCAGGTTTTTTGTTAAACAAGTGTAATAAACACTTAAGTTTGTCCTTCAAAAGGCCAAACAAGGCTTGGACATTTTTGTGAAAACCAATGAATTTTACATTACATAAAAAACCCTGCGCATGACAATGTTTTGTATTTTTTATTTGGGCTCAAAAGTGGCCCCCAGCTATTACTGACATTTTCACTGTGGCCAATTCTGGTTTAGCGTTTTTTGTTTTTTTTTCCTTTAAGTGTAATTCAAGAGTGGATTTTAGTTTTCTACTTCTCAAAGACAAATGGGGATTTCCAGCATTACAGGATGCGTAGTCATCAACATCAACACTAAAGATTTTTTTTATGGTCCAGCAGGGGTAGCTAATTGTCTGTCCGCTCCAGTCCAGGCACGGTCCATCTGCCTGCAGTGAGCCACTCTTGCTGGTGATGTTACTGGTCCATCAGTCAGCTGCAGAGAAGAGCGAAGTTCTAACATACAAAGTGTTGACGTGAAACAGAGTGTTAAGCCTCTGCCTGTGCTTTTCATGTCTCTTTGTTATGCAATAATATCAGTATTGGAAAAGCGGTAATTTCTTGAAAAGTTGAAATTGTTATTTTCCATCTAATTTTTCTAATTATAACATTTCACAAATTTATTTAAGATTACGTTTATTAGCTCTTCAAACGATTGTAAGGATAAAATACATATAATGTAGTAAACAAATGATACAACAATACGACAATACCTTTGACATCTAAATAATTGACTATAGAAGAAGAACATTATCCAAGCATCCGTCCGTTTTCTTCCACTTGTCCAATTCAGAGTTGCGGTGTGTTTAAATCGCAGCTGTCATAGGGGAAAGGGGCAGATCCGTGGGCAGGACTCCAGTCTGTCGCAGGGTTAAACGATATGGAAAAGTTAAAAATTAATTTCAGATACTCTCATATGGAAAAGAAATAGAAAAAACTTATAAAAGACTTGCATAAGATGTGGCCTACTTCATATAGTGAATCATATAAGGCTTATATGATTTACTCATGAAAGTGGCCACTTCCATATATAGTTTTAGTAAGTATCCAAAACATACAAGTTTCATTTATATAATTTTTCAAGGGATCTTGTATCTGTTTTCACTCTTATATGCTTTTCATACAAGTTTCACACAAGACAGATACAAACTTTATAGGATTTATATATATCTTTTCCATATGGGCTGTATTGGTATTATATGCTTAAAATAAAGAAGGTATAAAAGACAGACCGCTCACTGTGAAATGGATTGCCTACATTTTCAAATTAACCATACAGTTGTCCAGAACAAAATAAGAGTCATTTTTATTTTAATAATTGTAAAAGTAGTACAAAGTTTATCACACCGTCCACCTCAGCCTCCTCTTGCATCCGTCCTGCGGTCTCTCTCTCATCCATCGTCCACACTGCTCCGTCTCAACTCTGCAGCCTTTCACCTCATCAGCTCTGCTCTCCAGGCCATGATACCCACACGTTTCAGCTGCTCTGCTCCAGATTTCACTTTTTATTTGATTAGTTCTCCACACTCTGGACTCTGTTCACTCAGCTACCATTCTCTGCTGCTCCACATCTCAGTATCCCACCCTGGCCTGTTCAGCCCTGCAGTCATTGTTCATCTTTTATCTAACCACAGTCTCCTATATAGCTCTGGGTCATCATAAAACAACCTTCATATCAAAATGTGTGTAAACAGTAAATGTTACTAGGAAACTCGACACGCATTGGTTTTTATTTTACATCAAAATATGATGATGATGATGATAATATATTATTAGATTATTGTTATTATCAGAATCATGCTGAGTAGATTTATTTATTTGCATGTAGTTGAATTAAGAATGTATTCAGCCTTTATTAAAAATGTTGCTAATTTAAAAGATCAACCGTTACTTTGGAAGAGTCACATGAAAAAGATCTAAATTAGGATGTCAGTTTTTTGGCTGCACAAGGTTAACATAAGCCCTGCTGTCACTTATTAAACACTGGAAGAGCAAAGTGTATTTGGAAATAATGGAGGGATAAAGATCAAAAGCCAAACGGTATTTGCACAGCAAGAGAAACTGTGCAAATACACACAGCAAAAGAGGCCAGCTCATGTTTTTAGTTTGACTCTCAAGTTATCTGAAACCGTTCTGAACACCAGGGAGGGCCTGTATCTGATGCTAGCAATTTGCATGATAATAGATGTGGGATTAGTTTTTGGAGCCTAAGCCTAAAAATGAGAATAGGTTGTTTTGTTTTTTTAAACACGCAAATAGATATAACAGGACGTACTCTACTAAGACTGTTCAAATAACCCCTAAATTAACCAGTAAATACTGAGTTGTCTCAGTTTCAAAAGTGTTACAAATTTAAGCCTGTGTTGTAATCTGGATAAGTGCTGAGAGATGCTTCCTTTTCCAAAGGTGCTGACGTTCATGCTGCGACTGTAGACGGTGAAACAGTCGAGTCGTCGTTGGTGTTTCTGGTGAAGGAGGCGCTGGGGGCTTCGGTGGAGGATGCTGCTCAGATTGGTAACTTCTGCCTGAAAACCACACAGCTACTGCTGGCTCACGGCGTGGACCCCAGCTGCTGTCTGAATGAGGATGGCGAGCCTTCCCTGACGCAGACGAGCCTGGAGTACTTTGACCTGCTCTTCCCCTTGGCTGTGCTCTTAATTCAGAGCGGCGCGTCTTTGGTTTGCTCCAATCACAGTGACTCCTGTTGGTCAGGTTATAGCCTTCTCTTCCAGAGGCTCCAAACAGCCCTGCAGCAGTGCTCTGATCAAACTCACGCAGCCGAGCTCTTGGAGCAGGCAGAGATGTTGCTTGACCTGGTAAAGGTTCACAGCCCCAGGCTGCATCTCTCTTGCGGGCTGCAGCTCCCCATGCCTGGTCAGGAGTCTCACCCGTACGCTCAGGCTCTACTAAACCTGCACAAGCACGTAGCAGAGCGTGAAGCAAGCCCCCCTGCTCTGCGATGCCTCTGTAGGGCGTTTATAAGGAACCGCCTGAAGCCCTGGCCACTGGAAGACAGAGTCAAAGCCTTACCACTACCAGACAGACTCAAATACTTTCTTCTTCCCGAGCACACGTACACTCCAAAGTCTGGCTGGGACTGCTTCAAGCCCCAGCAGAGCCAGCGCTGACGGTATAAACTGCTTACTACTATTTGTGTTGCTTAAAATCTGAAGTGAAAGACTGAACAAACTCTGTAATAATTTGTGTAAAATATTTGAGGATGTGATAAGTGAAGCGAAGTCTAACATATCATTGAGGCCTTTGTTTAATTTCCAAATCTGTGTTGCCTGTGCCAAATTTACAGACAAAATTGTGTATATGTTTACTTTACAAATACAACATTGTAAGTACAGATTAGTCTTTGAGTTGTCACTGCCACAGTGAAATGCTGTAGAGGTGAAACATATAGACACGTTTATTTAAAAAATAAAATAAAATAAAAAATGCAGCACAATATGAAAGCCACCAGATGGCAGTGTTGCTCCTGCATTTTCAAAGGTAGCTCAGACTTTGGAAGACTTAACTATTCACAGTGCAACCTATTGAAGTTGTTCCAGCACAGTAGGGTCCATCTATATTTTAGATCCTCAACGTGACGGTGATATACTGTAGAATTTGTGTAACTTCAAGCTTAATATGAAGATGTAATGACAACAATAATAACAATTAATAAAAACTTCCACCACCTGTGACCTCATTGCTTTGTGTAGCAGTTTTTGTTTTGCGTTTGTTTACACATTAGTGCTTATAATTTCCCAGGTAGTGGCAGTGCAGTGCTGAATGTGACTGTGACAGTGTACCGGTAAATAACAGGATAATTGGTGGTACATGTTTTCCTCATGGATGCGCTCAAACCACAAGCATGATTCGAGTGGTTGCTAAAATAAGGCACAGCAGAAGGAGCGCGCCCCTAGATGTGTATGTGACATAATGTAGCTTTGGTGGCTGCTGAGGTGGAAAGTTTTACCTGGCTTTTTTTTTTTTTTTTTTTTTAATGCTTATGGTTAAATTCTGATGAATTGAGGGCCCAGTATACCCCCCTTTACACTCTCGCACTTGTGCTAAACCCATTCTTTCCACCCATGGCTTTGGTAACAGGCAAACAAGTCTGTAAAGAAGCAAGCGATGATGGTACAGGGAACCGTTGCTTACATATGTGTATGCATCCATGCGTGTGTGAGTAGCAAACTAAATAGGACATTGTGTTATACAACTAACCCCTTCCTGACATTGCTGAAGCTGGAGTGGCTCCAAGGCTTGCAGGCGCTCCAGCTCCTCTTGGTTATCTAGGTCACAGCCTCTGAGGAGAAGAGCCGCAGCAGCAGCAGCAGCCCTGCATGACACACGCTTCACTCTCCTGTCTGTCTGAATCTCCCTGCACACTCTTGACAAAACCTCAACACTGGCCCTGGTCGAATGAGGGGAAGAGTGGGAGGGAGATGCAGGAGGCAGAACAGTGGAGGGGAAAAAAAAAGACATTAAAGATACAGAGACGCCATATGTGGAATGGTTGTGAGAGCGGTCGTCATGGAGGACACATGGAAATGGTAATATTGGGCTGAATTTATACTATACATTGGCAGCAGGAACATAATCCGCCCGACCAAAAATGACAACAGTGGTGGTGGGGGGAGTTTTAAAAAAAAAAAAGGAACAGGCTTCTTCCATAAAGTCCAATCCTTTTGCTTGTAGAAGGTGATAGAATAGAGATAGTAGGGGGCGGGGAGGGAGAGGTCTAAGGCAGCATTCTCCATCCAGCATTTATTGGAAAACGGTGCGAGTGAAGCTCTGTACTGAAATTAGTTATTGATCTATTCTCTCCCTGAAGCCCATGGGTCTTTCCCCACCGCACCTGCTCATTCTCTCATAGCCTTCTTTCACCACGGCTCATTATATCCTTCAACCTCTGCTGCGAACTGCTGCGTGTTTTTGCTTGTTTTGTAGTTCCTTTATTCACTTCAGACCACTCTGTCTGAGAGACAAGAGCTTCCAAAACAATTCTACAGAGTTCAATATCAGAATGGATTTATGAGGGGCAGGTGCCATTAGAGCTGCATGTTTTATAAATGAAAAAAGTGACTTATAGAATGTTGAAATAAAGAAAAATATGAAATCTCTTATTTCATGCTTGGGATGTTGACATATTTATTCAAAGATAATTATTTTTGCTAATTGCTTTTGCAATTCTGTATTTCTTTTAGCCTTAAACAGTCGCTGACACCATCAGTTTCTTTTGAACTCTTTAGCAGAACACACTAAAGGATACAGGAATACCTGAAATATCTGATGCCAGGAAAGGAAATATCAGAAATCTTCAAGAAATTCATTTTATTGATATAAATCCACATTTTCCAAAGAAATACTTTTTTGCATGCAAGAACCACATAAAGGTACTGTGATCAAAATTACATATATGACTTTATATTTCCCTTCATGTCTGTGCTCCCTGGCTGAGTTCCCAGCTTGCCCTTAACCTTTTCATTAACCACTACTTCACCAGCTGAGAGACGTTCCGGTCTAGCCGGGGCCTTTTCCTCTGTGGAGAGCAGCCTGTGCAGGATCTCCTTGTCTTCCACTAGACAATGTCTAGACGCGGGATAATTGCAGACATCACTGAACACTCAGCTGCTGCCTGAAGCCTCATGGGAGTTGAGGTGGACTTTGGAGGGAAATGGCCAGCAGTCAGTGAAGGGGTTGGGAGCTGGAGGGGGTTCCACACCGTGCAGTCACACCCCTTTAGATTGTGTGTTTGTGTGTTTTGTTTTGGCTTCACTTATCTTTTTGCCCAGGTATCTTTATATCGTGTGTGTTTGATTGGTGAGAAGAAGAGTGTGGGAGAGGGAAAGAGAGCGTAGACATCAAAACACACAGCGCTCATACCCACAGATGTGGTGACTTCATCAGACAAACATGTACCCCTTCCTCTCGCTCTGCTGAAGTGCACCGAAATTAATGGCTGCTAACACCAAGATGAATTTGGATACCAACGTATTTCTTACAATCGTGCTGCATTCCAGACTGTATATACTTTATCTGTTGCCTTCACACAAGACTCTTGAACGTGTAGCTTTGACTCGGTGCTGGGATATTGTGTGCGTGTGTTTGTGCACATCCTCTTATGGAGGGGAGGGGACTGCTGGTTGGTCAGAGCGAGAGAGAGAGAGATGGTTGCAGGCCATGGGGTTCATATCGAGCTGGTGGGACTTGATCTCAATGGGGCTTGATTGGATGTAGGACAGCTGAATCCTGTTGGGGCAAGCCACCTTCCTCATTGTGCTCCAGGTGCTGGTTCCTGCTTTAGAGCGGCACACTCTGACTTGAGTCCTTCCATCATGAACAAATATTTTATCTGTTTTCAGCTTTTACCATGGACGCCCCCCGCCCTTTTTTTTTTCATAGATACTGTTCCAAAATCTGTTTGTGCACCAGTAGGGTTTTTAAAGCCTCGACTTTGGAAACAGAGTAACTCAGACAAGTAACCAGAGCAGCACTGACACAAAACTTGTTTTCCTCTTTGAGGGAGAGCCGTTACTGAAAGTGTATAATGCGGACAACTTTTCAGCCTCACAATCCAGCTCCTATTTTAGAAGCCCTCCAGTCCACCACCCTCTGCATTTCTACAACAACTGACGCCATTTCACAGAAATTCCAGACTACTGGCGCCTGAGCTCAGCCTCCAAGAAGGACATGATGAATAGGACACACCCTTGGTATTCTAGTGAATGGTACGATATATGGCACACTGCGGTGTTACAGCCCAGATTCACTGCAGCCTTTAGCTCTTTTCAGTGCCGTTTTTCTCCCATTTTTATTTATTTATTTATTGTAATTATTATTTTTAAAGGGGTTCGAATTTGAGTGAAATGCACTGAGGCACCAGTAAGGCGAGCTCCAGCTCTTTCCAGCGCTTGGTTCCTGATCCACCTCTTTGTTGTGGTCTATGCATGCCTGCTCCAGTCACATGACTGCGTTTCTATGGCAACTCGGGTTTGAGTAATCATTTGCGTTACGACCTTTATTCCCTTGAGGAAAGGGGAGGGGGAGGTTAGACTGAGCCTGTAGAAAGAGGGAGCAAGAGGGAAAGAGAAAAGAAAGGCAGAAGGGGAGCGGCGGAGAGGCACAGGGAAGGGAAAATAGAGGGGAAAATGTTGCCCTTACTTGCCTGTATATATTTTATATCGTATCTTAACTGCTTAGCAGCTTTTTTCCTCGCACCGTTCAGCAGATGGGAATAAATAAAAAAAGAAAAACCTGCCACTAAACACTGGGTTGTGTGCTTCAGTTTCGCCATAATGGCTTGTATTTTGTGACTCACTCTGTGACTAGGGCAGAAAAGTGAGTTTAGTTGCAGAGAGGCAGGCATGCATGTTTCATAAGGGCACACACACACACACACACACACACACACACACACACACACACACACACACACACACACCTCCCCTTCACTTCTTCTCAGAGGAAAGGCAGCTCTGTGCCACATGTGCAAGTCTCAGCAGAAACAGATTATGTATGTTCCTGTTTCTTGCTCTCCCGGCTGCGTTGTCATGGTAACCGAGCTCGTTCGCCACTGTTGTCTCTCTCTCTCTTTCTCTCCACTGTTGGATGATTCAACCCATCAGTTGGGTTGTGTCATCTCCTAGATGGAGTTTGTAGCTCTCACTTCTCCTAAATGGGAGTTGCTCAGTTTGTGCTCCTGTTCCAGTTTGATTTTACTTTAATATAAAAGCAAAACAAGGCGTATATAATAATAATAATAATAATAATAATAATAATAATAATAATAATAATAATAATAATAATAATAATAATAATAATAATAAATTGTGTGCCAATATATCTGTGAAGGGTGGAGCCAGTGGGTGGATTTTGTGGGTGCCTTCTAACAGCAGTATGGGGGGGGGGGG